CAAGATGAACATGTTCAGCAGGTAGAATGACTGTGTCAGCCTGGCTGACCCTGGGCCACCTACCCATGCCAGGTGTGAAACCAAAGCAGATGCATGTCCTTGATCCCAGGGCTGCAGCACTTAAACATCTTATGATAGGCCATGTATTAGAGAAGGAGATTCAGACACCACCAACCCCTTCCCCAGCTGAGGACAGAGCTCAGATGAGAGAGACGACTCTAATAAACTGTGAGTCTAAAATCAGAGACAGAGAACTGATGCAAATACTTTTCCAGCTGTACTTAGAGACAGACTCCTGCCTGGTTGCCATGGCTCAGTTTAAGGGCTCAGGTGTGGTCCCAGCTGTAGAGAAACCAGAATTCAATCAGGGTGGTCCAGCTGCGGCCAACCAAAACTCTTTACCTGAAACATAGAGTAAAATTTTTAAATCCCTTTGACAAGTTAGACAATCTCACACACACAGAACATTCTATTTGCAAAGCATCTTGGCTTAAGAAGGTTCTTGAATGAATAATTTTATGTGTATAATAAAGTTCTGCCCTGAAAGAGTATACATGAGGAGGTTGTGAAGTGATGTGAAAAGCTTTGGATCATGGGAAATATTTAGAGGAAGGATAAAATGTCTAATCTAATAATGATGTTCTCTAAATGTCCTGGCTTGTTTGCTTTTTTAGGTACCTCGGGTCTTCATCGGTCAAGAGTGCATAGGTGGATGCAATGATCTAGTAAATATGCATGAGAAAGGGGAGCTGGTGACAAGGCTAAAACAAATTGGAGCTCTACAATAATTATAGGTGAGTGTCAGGTGGGACGCTGGGCCAGGAACACTGGGAGATGGTGGAATTGTACCGCCACATTTTATTACAATTTAGGAAGGCACTCTGGCTAGGGGAAGAATGATCTGGGGTGATTTGAGGAACTGTGATGTCATGTATGCGTTTCCAATTTTACAAATGGATTAATTTCATCAATGGGAGGAAAGCTTTTCACTCAACCTTCATTTAACAAATATTTATTTAGCACTTACTATGTGCCAGACACTGTACGAGGCACTGGGAATACAGAGATGAACAAAAAGATAACATGGAACTTATATTCTAGAGAGGTAGACCAATCAAAAACAAGTAAATAATTCCTGAAACAAATGAATAATTTGATAGAACATGGCAGGGGGGTGGGGAGCAAATTAAGCTAATGTAGTAAGGGAAGGCCTTTTTCAGAGGGGCTGGTTGAGCTGAGACCTGATTGACAACAGGGAGATGGCCATGTACAGATGAAGCAGAAGGGCTTTTCGGGCAGAAGGAATAATAGCGAGTACAAAGGCCCTGAGGTGACAAGTATGGAATATTCAAGGAACTGAAAGCAAGAAAGATCAGACTGAGTGAAGCACAGAAAGCAGGAAAAGTAGTAACAAATGTGGGCAAGGACCAGAGCACACAGGCCATGGGAAGCAACCTAGATTATTCTAAGTGCAATGTGAAATCAAGGTAATTTCTGCTTTACCTGTGTTCACCCCCCACATCAATTCAATCTAATTGGCTTCCCAAATGACAAAACAAAGTTTTCTAAAATTGTAACCTAAAGGAGATCTTTGACTGAATGGAAAACCATAGGGTGATGAATTCTTCAGAAAGGAATCAAGATACCTTTGGGGTCTGATGGACTCCCCTCCCCGCAGCTCTTGTTAGTGCAAGCTAGCTTCTAAGCAGGCCAATTGCACTGACTCACATGTGGAAAGACTCTGTTTTAGCCAAAGGAGAAAGGGGTTCAAATTAAAATGTTCTTTGAAGAGTGTTTGTTGCCCACTAATTAATAATTAACCCTTGAGCAATGAGTACATATAATTTGTGGTGGTTACTCAGAATAGCAACAGGAAATGACAAAACAAGGTCTGAAAAATGCAACTGAATCCCTTGAAATAAAATAGTCAATGTTACAAACTTTTAATCACAATTCTACAACATCATCCCCTCAAATAAACACTGTGTCTGTTTGGGTTAGCTTTCTGGCCTCACCCCATGCACAAAGCACTCAAAACCCAATTAACTGCTGTACCAAATGTTTCCTTTTCTGGAACACTCTTTAGCAATTTAGGCTTAGATGAGAATGAAAGAAAACTTACGACTTTCCTGGGAAGGTGGGAAACACCATTTCCCCAGCTACCTCTATGTTGGCATGGGCACTAGAGTCCACCATATTCCCCAGGTCTCTTTATCTACATTGTCCTTCAGTATATTATACTCTCAGTATTCTACTGGCAACTTGCATCTCAAGGCCATCTGTAACTGATTATGCTTAAACAGCAAGAGTAAGTGTTCTGGTAATGGAAATGAGAGGAATTGATCTTTTCCAAGAAAATCCAATTCTTTGTATTTTTTCCTAGCAGAGCAGACCCCCTTGAGAGCTGGATGGCATTGCAGATAATGACAGCACTTCCTGATGGATGGACCTGGGGCTGCGTTTACCCAGCTACAGCAACTGTTTACTTAAAAGTTTGAAATATGTTAACGCAAATAAAGTGGGTGGGGGGCATTTTGGGGGCCAAAACAGCTTTTTCTTCTTTTGACTCAGTATTAAAAGGGGACCAACTTGCCCAAAACAACAGGTCTGAGAAGTTCGATGTCTGTCTCGGGTTTCTTGTGGATTGGCCCTTTGGTTTCCAGAAAGACAAGATATGCTTAGGATTCACTCACGGACCCAAAAGATGTTCCTTCTCTTTGGCACATGTTCCTTACTACATGTTCTCCACGTGCTGGGGCTCCTCTACCTCAACACCAGTGTTTCTCAACCAAGTATATCCCAGACCTCCTGGGTTGAATCTATAGTTGGTTTTCTGCTACTGTCCAAAGATTATTTTGTTGAGTTTGACTTTATAGAATTTGTATTATGAAATCAATAGATATTCTGAATATGCTTTTTCAAAGGGTATCTCCCTAGCCACCATCCCCACCCCACCTCCTACCCCCTCCTACTGTGAGAATCACTGCCGTGAACCAGTGTTCTGAACCGTGACAACTCATAGACCTCATAGGAAATATTCAACAATTCCGTGAAGGGTCTGAGCACGCAGTCTGAGAGACGCCACTGAAAAGTTAAGCACGGTTGGTCTTCATTTTGGGCCACAGGGATCAGAGGTATAAATGCAGATGCTATGATCACGTGGCAACACTCTGTTATGTAACATGGTTGTCCAGGGAATCCTGAACAAGTGTGTATTAATTTGTTTATAAACAAAAGTAAAACATAAGGGCTTCCCTGGTGGCGCAGTGGTTGAGAGTCCGCCTGCCAATGCAGGGGACATGGGTTCGTGCCCCGGTCCGGGAAGATCCCACATGCCGTGGAGCGGCTGGGCCCGTGAGCCATGGCCGCTGAGCCTGCGTGTCCGGAGCCTGTGCTCCGCAATGGGAGATAAAAAAAAAAAAAAAAAAAAAAAAAAAAAAGTAAAACATAAAATTTTAAATGGTGAAGGTTATTCTAGAATTGCAAGATTAAGTTAATTTCCCTCTGTAGTCTCTGGTATGAATGGTTAATTTCTTCTCTAATAAAGAAGTACCCATGGATCACACAGTGATTTTTGTCCAGTTCTTTTCTACGTTCTCAAGACCTTAAGGAGTGTGATTATTGCAGAATATACCAATTTAAAGTTTTTTCATGTTCATCCCCTGCAGACACATGCTATTGTCCTTCATTGAGTATAAACGGTTCGTGTAATTTTGTAAATTTCATAATTTGAATATGTCAACACTAGCCTATTGAATAATGTTTAGGATTCAATAATAGTCTTTTTCATACCACATTCCATTTTCCTATTTCTCTCCTAATACTCTCGGAGTTTTGGCTTCCTCTCCCTTCCCTTATGCACCCTAACCACTCCCTTCAACCAGATGGCTGTGGATGATCGAGTAGGTTACACACTGCACAACACTATGAATGCCACCCATGGAGGCTATGCAGTGTGCAAACTGCACAGTCCCTGATCACCTCCAGACCACTTGCCTGCTCTTTCTTTCACATTTCTATGTCCTTGCTCATTGTGTTCCTTCCTCCTGAGATACCCTTTCTTATCCTTTTTTCTTCTTTCAAACCCTGCCTTCAAGGCCTGACTTACAGACTCTCCCCTCTGGACCTACCCTCTCCTCTCACTGCCTCTTGACTAAAAAAAGTCATTGCTCCTTCTTCTGTAATCTTAAAACATTAGGCTGTATTGTAGTTAATCATCTGTACTGGTCTCTCACCATATTCATAAATACTCAAAGGCAGTAGCCTCGACGTAAAAACCTTCATATGCCCAGTTTCTAGCACAGAGGTTCTATTTTATCAAAGCAATACGTGCATGTGGTTTAAAATGTCAAACAACACTACAACACTACTCCACCCCTCCCAAACCCCAGCCCTGGCCACACATTTATCAGTTTCATAGGTATTTAAGCTATTTAGAAATACTGTGAAATGTATTAGACATATATAAGAATATATAGAATGCATAGTTCTATTTAAATGAACACCCATGTAATCTGCTTCCAAAGTTAAGAAGTAAAGCACCCATATAACAGTGTGCTTCCAGAGTACTGATAAAGTACCTTAGAGGCCCAGGACTTCCCTGGTGGTCCAAGATCCCACACGCTGAAAGATTAAAAAAAAAAAAAAAACCGTACTGTAGAGGCCCATGTGCCCCCTCCCAATGTATCCCCTTCCTCCCTTCACAGAGATGATCTCTAGTTCATTTTGTTGTAATCATTCTGATCCTTTATAGTTTTACTTCCTACAATATCCCTCAGCAATACATTTTAGCTTTGAAAAGCAACAGCAAACACCAACCTAGCTGTGTAAGGAAAGGGCAATATTCTCACCATCAGATGAAGGGCCCCAGGAGAAGATAAGCTGAACAGAGGCTCTGAGTCATAGATTAGCTTCTGTTTCCCTGGGAGTTTACCAGGGGGTATTCCCAAATGAGTCTTTGGAAACACTGGGCAACCCATGGCTGGGGAGGTTATTGTATGAACAGGTACTGGGCATCCCCCAGAAATATGTAATGGAAATGGGCTGCTCTGCAATTTTGGCTTCCATGGCCAGCCTCCAGCTTTCAGGAACAGGTCCAAGCACACCACGTCCATAGCAGTGTGTCAAGCCCATACCCCCTCAACTAGCCAAGGTTGTGTCATGGAGAACAGAAATGTCATCAACACAAGGCAAACTAAGTTCAGATAACAATCTGCTTCAGGCTCATTTAAGCATTCTCACCTTAAGTTAAAAAAAAAAAAAAAAGACAACAGTTGAGCTCTCAACATGGGGCATTTCACTGCTCCAATCTGGACTGTTCGCTGTCCACGTCAGAGCATAGCTCTCTTCCTGGGATCTCCCTTCACTGTCATCCTGGGGATTCCATTGCTCTCTATCCTGAGTTGGATCTCCTGTTTCCCACACCCCATAAGTATTTGTTACAGCTAAAGTGCTGTAACAAAAACATAATGACAGAAGCTTATTTCTCTCATAAGAGTTCAGAGGCAAGCAGGTGGCTTTGCTCTCTGAAATCACAACCAACCCAGGGGTTGTGTGCACCACTTCTGCTCATATCCCATTGCCCAGAAGTTAGCTGTGGGTGACACTAGGCAGTGGTGTCCCTGGTGGCAAGCCCCTTGCCCAGCTAAAACTCAGGGAGGTGTACATTGAAAGAAAATAGGAGTTTGGGATTAACAGATACACCCTACTATACATAAAATACATAAACAACAAGGACCTACTGTATAGCAGAGGGAACTATACTCAATATCTCGTAATAACCTATAAT